TTAAGAACATTGGGATCAAACTGACAACAACTTGAAAGATGAGGGGGCACCAAATTTATGTTAATGAGGGAAGAACAACTCAGAAAAGCAGGGTGAGAATGGTTGTACAAGTCAAAGAATGTGATCAACATCACTGCATTGTACACGTAGAGATGGCTGAACCTGTATTTTGCTGTGGATATTCTCAACAACAACAAATGTCTTGGTTTAATTTGCTGGTGCTTTTCTGTCTTGCTACACAAGGAGCCCTAGCTTCTACCTCCTGGTTTTAACTCCACTGAAAAGGAAACCAACACTAAAACTATCCAGTCAACTGCAACTCACAGCAAGCACACAGGAGAGAACAGAACTGCCCCATAGGGTTTCCAAGGCTATAAATCTTTATGGAAGCAGATTGACTCATCCTTCTCCCATGGAACAGCTGGTGGGTTCAAACTGCCAACCTTTTGGTTAGCAGCTGAATGCTTCAACCACTGTACCACTAGAGCTCCTTAAACCAACACTAGAGCTGGGTGAAGTTGCCTGGAATTAGAACAGAATTCCTAGAACACGTGATAGCAGGAGGATGCTGACTGCTGGCTCTCTATGGCCTAACATTTTACACCAAGGTATGTCACTTGGTCCTCACATCCACTTGGTGAGGTTGGTATTAATATCAGGCACTGTTCTAAAGGTGAAGAAGCTGGGGCTTGAGATGAGTTGACGTGCCTGCACTTCTATATGCAGTAAGTAAGTGGAAGGGCCAGGATTTGATATCAATTCTGCTTGACTCCAAAGCTTTCCTCTTCTAACTAGAATACGTTACCTCTCTAACAAGTGTCCATTCTTCACGAGGCCTTCCATGTCTCTCACCTTCCCTGAGCCTCACACCTATAATGCAGAAATAAGCCCACACCCCCATGGGATTCGGCGAGCAGCGCCAGAAGCAATGTTCCTCAGAGGGATAGGTTAGCTAATAAAGTGTAAATACATATAGTTCTTATTTCAACTGGAATATTTCCCTGTGTACGTGCAGACATGGAGAAATTCTCTCAGTCAACCGTAAAGGCAGAATCGTCAAAAGTCAAGTTACAAAAGGAAAAGTGACCTTCCTAAAGGGGTCTGTGAGCCTCTAAAGGGTTGAGGAAATGTGACACTGTATTTCAAGTTGAGATATATTAATCCTCACAGGTAAATGTCTTTTGATCAATTAGGTCTCTGCATCTCATTCCATATTTGTTGAATGATTACTGAGTCAATGAATAGCTGCCTCGTAATTACAAGCTGCCTGATCTTGAACTAGAAGCTTATCTGGTAAAAGGGATGCAAGCTTGTTCCCCAGATAACTGTGGCAGCTTACCCCCATTTTTCTTTAGAGTTTAGCAAAGACACCCAAGTCA